CTTAGAGCTGAGCAGCTCCCTCAGCTCACTATTGCTTTGGTCTAGTGGAGCAATCGAGCAACACAGTAGTAGTAGTAGTAATTAGAGCGCCTGTCGAAGGGGGCACAGGTCTAGCTTCCTAGCAGTGCTAGCCCCGGGCCTTTCCTGAGCCAGCCCGGGCGGCGCCATGACTAGCACAGCCACCCCCCGGCCTCGCACTTACAGCGAGTTCTTCGAGAACCCGGCTGCAAATCCCTTCGGGGATGACGCCTCCGTATGAAAGAATGCGTATTCCACTGTATACCACAACTTCCGAAGTACTCCCGGCCCCCTGTCCTCAACACTCCTCCTTGAGTACACGCTTGACCTTTTCGAAGCGCAAGCGGTAGGCGGAATTGGTATTTTTGTGGCGGATGCAAACTCAACCTCACGGTTGCGTGTGATACATGGTATACGCAAATATCCRGGTAACTTGCTGGTCCCTTCACAGAACGCCAGGAAGGCCTTTGGTTACATCGACGACATCRAAGCCGGCGGAGGGGAGCTGGTGCAACTGAACGCCAACATGTTCGCCCTCACGGCACAGGAGGTCCGGGTATGCACGCTACACCATCACCAAGCCACCTTAGAGGAAGACCCGGAGCTGGCCTTCATCCCCCCGCGTCCGGAGGGCTCCCCRGAAACGAACGTTATAAGGTGCCGAAAGTCCTTCTTTGTTCCCTTCGAACTGATGCCCTTGGTGTTGGGAAAGGGCCTAACTCCGCGTGACGCATACTTACTCATCTACCCGTGGCTTGTTCACCACGGCTTGGATGTTGTCTCCCAGCCCCTCACTGACACTCTACAAGTCGCTGGTACACACGTGCAAACGGCTATTAACACAGTTGCGTGTGCAGTTTCGCACACGGAGCCGGGTCCCCTCTTCCGTGCTGAAAGGGGGCTCACCCTATACATGGAACAAAAGGTGTTACACCGGGACTTAMCTGGTTTAGTCTCCGTCCCCACCRAAATGGGCCCCGAAACAGCTGCTCTAACAGCTGCYGTGGCTACACTCACTGACTGCCATCTAAGAACCAATGAAGCTAACGAACGCCGCCACAACGAGGCTAGCAAGCCCCCTACCATGGAAGAAATGTTCGGGTCGCTAAATCGCAAACGATTACTAATCCTCTGCCAAGTGGAAGAGGAAGGGAGTCTTCCCCCAATCTACCAAAGCTGGACGGAAAAGAAGAAAGGTGAGAAACTGCATGCTTTGCTGCAAAGCTTTGTTGACCAAGCAGGAAAGGAGCTAGGCATGCAGTCTCCCTTTGTACCCACAGCAGCTTTGAAAACATTCCAAACTCTTCGCTTTTACGGCATCGATGAGTGTGAACTAGGGGACGGAATACTCCCCTTTGCCTTTGCTCCCCCTGGAGGATCCCCAACAGCTCTGAAACGACAAACTGAGGATGCGAGAGCTGCTCAAGCCTACGACACACTCGTATCAACACAAGGCAACTCGGTTAACCTTAGCGACGCACTTAAACTAAGTAAGGCCAAGGGGTATATCCCTGTTGAATGGATAGAAGCCCTCCTCCAGATAGAGGGCTACTTGCCGGTGTTGGCTACACTGTTAGGAGTGGAGCACACGTTGGTAAGACAGTACGGTGCAGGGCTAGATCGTTTACGACGAATGCAGCTAGCCCTCCGCTATGCACTGAAGGATGAATGCGGGGAGCGCCTAGCACCACCAATCATTGTGTACTATTTCCAGCTTCGAGTACGCTGCTGGTTGGAAGAACAGTGGGAGAGTGACCAGCCCGTTGAAGTCCCCAGCTTCACCACTGAGTTCAGGCAGTTCAAGCTGTCGAGGAACCTAAACTGGCTCCCAGTAGTAAGTGATGTACCAGCGCTACGGCCGCTTGCCCGTAGCAAGGCTGACGGGGGGACCCAATCCCGCGGAGCCAGTGGAAACAGTAACACTACRAGCAGTCGTGGAAACACTACTGGAAGCTCACCCGCACAGGCCCGAGTGGAGAACCCGGATCCTGACCCCCRCATAACCGCAGCGGAAGGGGAGCTGGGTTCACGAATAAAGAACTGGAAGATCGCCAAAGCCATGGGGATCATGAAGGAGAAAGGCAAGGGGCCTTGCTTGAGGAATGATGGCAAAGAGATGTGCCACTCGTGGAGAGCTAAAGGGTTCTGCTACGATAGCTGCAAGCTTCGGTACGATCACCGCAAAGGGCCCGAAGATGAGAGTGATCGTTTCCTGGCTTGGTGCCAAGAAGCTTATAAGGAATGAGGCGGGGGCAGGCAGCTCCCTCTTAGTACAGCTGCTGTGCCACTGCCCTCACCCCAAAGGAAACGGAGGAGGTTGATGTCAGACACAGCACTTAAACGCGGCTCCCACAACAGCCAAGGAGCAGGGAAGCCGCCGCCGGTCCTCACCAAGGAACTAGGTAAGTACCGCACACAGGAGCTCGTTCCTGTGGATCCGAACCCTGTCACGGAGAGCCGAGACTCCCTGGACACGAAGAAGCCCTGCTCAGCGAGCCGAGACTCACGGGAGGGCCCCACCGAACCCTGTCAGGGACCCAATCGATCAGGGGACCCGACGGGAGCCAGGGGAGCCGAGACTCCCGGAGCCGGAAGGCCAACCCGGCGCRAGAGGGATAGTAAGCAAGCGAGGGGCTTCCTGGAGCACCCGTATCCACGTGACCGCTTGGATGCTCACGTAGAACGCGCAGTACAAGCCTACACGAATGCGCGATCCTGGGGGGACTTCATAAGAGCAGTGAGGGGACGTGGGGATCTTCACCCTGACATAAGAAGTATCCCCCACCCCGCTGCGCACTTGCTCAGCCGCTTCCAAAGGTCAGGAACCCCAGCAGTGATGTCAGGACCCCCGTGGGGGGAGGGACGCATTGCGGGGGCCCTTGCCAGGGGGCCCCATAAGTCCTCTCACAAAGGGATAGACTTCCTCCGGGAGGAGTATGCGGACATGATGGACAAGCAACAGTGGACTGTCCTTCCTGCAGCCTTAGTCACCTCGCTTCCGGGGCTACGGCTGAGCCCGTTGGGTTTAGTACCGCAACGGGGGAGAAGGGACCGAATGATCTCAGATTACAGCTACTTCGGAGTGAATGACGATACACTCCCCCTAGCACCCATGGAGGCTATGCAATTCGGCAGGACCCTGAAGAGACTGCTTCAAAGGATTCATAGAGCTAATGGAGCCTTTGGCCCTGTATACCTCTCCAAAGTAGACCTATCRGATGGGTTCTATCGGCTGTGGCTACGGCCTGAGGACACCATGCGATTAGCTGTATTATTCCCCACAAGACCAGAGGAGCCCCAGCTGGTAGGAATCCCCCTCACCAATCCCATGGGCTGGTGCTCATCACCTCCCAACTTCAGCGCCTGTACTGAAACCGTGGCAGACCTGACCAACGATCTCCTCAACAAGCYCGGAGGAATGCAGCAAATGCGGCAAGCCCCCCACCGCCTAGATGAGGTGTCAGAGACACCGGGGGAGRGAAACTACCGCATCTACGATGGGGGTTCACTGCCGGTCCCAGTGACGGCTACAGCACCCGCACGGAAGCCCCTTCGGTACTGGGATATATACGTAGATGATTTCTGTGGCTTAGTACAAGGCAATAAGTGGACACGGCGAGCTGTTAAGCGGGCCCTATTCCACTCCTTAGATCGAGTATTCAGACCCGTCGATAACAGGGATACTGAACACAGACAAGAGCCGGCCTCCCTCAAGAAGCTTAAGAAAGGGGATGCCACATGGGCCACCACCAAAGTCATATTGGGCTGGCTGTTAGACACCCAGGCCAAAACAATATCATTGCCCCCACATCGCGTGGAGCGGCTCAACGCGATACTGGGCAATATAGGCCCCAACCAAAAATATGTAGCCATCCAGGACTGGCACAAGGTGCTAGGGGAGCTTCGGTCCATGTCCATTGCCTTGCCGGGATCYTTGGGGCTTTTCTCTATATTGCAAGAGGCCTTCCRGCATAAGGAACCCCACCGGAACCGCTTACGGCTAACCAAGCAGCTCCATGGCTTCCTGGAAGACTTCCGCTGGATCGCCCGCGACGTGTCCTCCCGACCCACTCGAATCGCCGAGCTGGTCCCTGACACGTGGCCAGCCACAATGGGAGCCTGTGATGCAGCAGGAGTGGGGATGGGCGGCATTYACTTTGTCCCTACTCCCCAGGGGACCCTACAACCTCTCATGTGGAGAGCCCCGTTCCCAGCCTGGGTTCAGCGGGACTTGGTTAGCTTCCAGAATCCGGAGGGAACTATCACTAACAGTGATTTAGAGCTGGCAGGCTCCATTGCACATCTAGATG